CCATTGGCCATTTTTAGCAATACCCAAGAAATGAGATTGTTCCTTGTTTTTTGCCCCACAGAAGGAGTTAACTTTACTAAACCAGGAAGTGATCCAGAACCCATCTGGGAATGGAGGGGTCATCTTGTAACATTATGAAGAGAAATGAGGCCTTCCCTTCTCCCTTTTTAAGTGCAGCGACTTTCTATCAAGTTACATGCTTGATCTGTAAATAGACAATATTTTAAAACATCCATCCAGGCATGTACATACACATGATTCTACCAGTGGAAGGATCCATCCAGGCATGTACATATACATGATTCTACCAGTGGAACGATCCATCCAGGCATTTACATACACCTGATTCTACCAGTGGAAAGATCCATCCAGGCATGTACATATACATGATTCTACCAGTGGAATGATCCATCCAGGCATTTACATACACCTGATTCTACCAGTGGAAGGATCCATCCAGGCATGTACATATACATGATTCTACCAGTGGAAGGATCCATCCAGGCATGTACATACACATGATTCTACCAGTGGAAGGATCCATCCAGGCATGTATATACACATGATTCTACCAGTGGAAGGATCCATCCAGGCATGTATATACACATGATTCTACCAGTGGAAGGATCCATCCAGGCATGTACATACACATGATTCTACCAGTGGAAAGATCCATCCAGGCATGTATATACACATGATTCTACCAGTGGAAGGATCCATCCAGGCATGTACATACACATGATTCTACCAGTAGAAGGATCCATCCAGGCATGTACATATACATGATTCTACCAGTGGAAGGATCCATCCAGGCATGTATATACATGATTCTACCAGTGGAAGGATCCATCCAGGCATGTATATACACATGATTCTACCAGTGGAAAGATCCATCCAGGCATGTATATACACATGATTCTACCAGTGAAAGGAACATTATACCATTTTAAGAGCAGTTATACCATTTTATAATTGAATTCATGGACTGTGGTGAAAAACACTCAAAGCATCGACAGGGTAGAAAAACACTCAAATAATGCATGGACTGTGGTGAAAAACACTCAATGCATGGACTGGAAAGAAAAACACTTAATGGGTGTTCTGTTGGAATACATTCACTTGATAGCGCAAGGTAAATGACTGGCTAAAAAGATGTTTAAAAATGATAACAAGGTGAATTTGCACTTGTGTACCATTATGAAAGTCCTTCAAAGGCCAAGGTATTCCACACGATGACTAGGATCGTGTTCTTTTTATTTTTATCATGGACTGCAGACTGGTATTCCTAAATAAATCATGGACTGCAGACTTGGTATTCCTAAATAAATCATAGACTGCAGACTTGGTATTCCTAAATAAATCATGGACTGCAGACTTGGTATTCCTAAATAAATCATGGACTGCAGACTTGGTATTCCTAAATAAATCATGGACTGCAGACTTGGTATTCCTAAATAAATCATGGACTGCAGACTTGGTATTCCTAAATAAATCATGGACTGCAGACCTGGTATTCCTAAATAAATCATGGACTAAAGACTGGTATTCCTAAATAAATCATTACAATATTATCAAGTAATGCATTACTGGTTTATAATCATGTGTTTATAAACACAAAATGGTAGGGGGTAGACATTTTGCTTTTCATCAGACACATTATGTGGCAGGAATGATGGTTCAACTGATGGATACAAATTCATAGATTTATTTTTCCTATTACAGCTGGGAACAGTTAAAAGGATAAAATTACTCTTAGATGACCTTAAATGAAAATATAAAACATAGCAAATCTTACATGTCTTCAAGAAAGGGAACATACAAACATAGTAAATCTAGCACATCTTCAAAAAGAGCATTTAGGCTATATAAATCCTAGCAGAAACCAAGCTGATTGTTAAAAATATTACCTATTAAAAACCAAAATCCCGCAATGTACAAAATATCCAATAACAGTGCTCCATGTATATTTGGAGTCACTATTCTAGTACCTGATCACACGGATCACCTGAAATCCAGACAGTATGTAAAATTTGCTAATCAAATAAAGAATTATTCAAAAGAAGTTTTAATTTATTATGACTCTGATCTTAAAATAAGTAAAAGAGAAGTGTTAAATTAATAAAGTTTTGTAAAATTCAACAAATAATTTATTTCCCTAGACCTCAAAGTGAACTCACAGTATTGTGAATAAAATCTAAAAAAGTCTAAAAAGTTCTATCACCTGACATAAGGAATAAAGTTTTAATTAAATTCAACTGGTGTTTGAAATAATTGTGCCTGAAAACTTGAAAGTACTAATGTACTAGTGGCCTGATGTGTAATGATGTGCCAATAGTCTTCCAATTAATTGCAATAATATAATCCAATATATCATCATTTTCTGAATTCATTATAATTCCGAGCTAAAGTTTCTGACCAAGAATATTATTGAGTACTTTGTAATTCCTGAGAATAATAATTGAATAAATAATTGCACCCAAATCAAAAACTGAACACAACAATGAACATGATTCTGATCCTGATGTTATCACAAGAATGATTAATCTCTAATGCAAACAAAATGATAAACCCACCTACTTGACCTATGTAACAATTACCATTGTCTGGAAATACGTCACCTAATGAAATTCTCCAAGCTGGAATATTCTAGGTTGTCTGTTATTAAAATTATAATAAAAAATGTGGCAAACATTAGGTAAAACAGGTAAATAAATGTGGAATACCAATATCCTAGATCCTGGTGCAAATAAGCATGCTCTATTGATAACAATCCTAATATTTAACCCATTCTCACAGAGAAAAATATTAACTATGTATTATTTGTTTACTAAATAAAAGTTACTAGTCAGGTACACAATCAACTTGATTTTGGACAAGGTCAAATCCAAAATACAATTATTTATAACATATAATTATGGGGACAAAAAACTAACAATATAATTAAATATATATAACAAAATACTTACAAACTTTACTCTGAAATTTTATTCCAGTTGATATAGAAATGTCCACTCTATTCCATCTTTCAGATTCAGTAGCTTCAGAGATGTAGTAAATTAAAATGAATACAACTGTATTTGTGTTCATGAATGCCTCTGAAAATTATTAATAATAATTATTGGGTAATAGCTGCAAATTGCATATAAACTATGTGGTTTCATATATATGAATAAAAGTTCATGTTGGGAAGAGAAAGGAAGAATGTCAATATATTGTTGTATATAAATACTGAACATGCTTGCTTACAAGTCTAACTGCACACTGTACACACCCAGATTAGCTGTTGCTTAATGCACCAGTAGATTTGGTTCTATGTATTTTGTTAGGAGTGTTACGTATGTGTGATTAAATTGCTGGTGTGTTAATTTTAAATTCATTTTTTAAATTTTTTCATTGAGTTTTGTTGTGGTGATTATATTCATGAGATTCCATATTTTTCAAGTCAATTATGTTTATTTAGAATGTTTAACCTATAACATAAATATTTTTAGCTCACTCAGGTTCATGGAATTTGTAAACATTGATTGATAGTGATTGGTTATTTCCAAGGTCATGTTGGCCCATGTGTTGCCCATGTGTAAACAATGTTTTTTAATTGGTTTTTCATTGTCGTAGGTGATAAATGTCTTATACTAAGTGACCATGTGACCTAATGTGTGATCTAAAATTGTGTTTCAGACTTAAATTTTTATTGATTTTTGTGTTAGTCATAAAATAATCCCTTTCTAGATGATAGGCATTTTTTGCTGTTGCAAGATGTTTTTGAGTCTTTCTGTTCTTCAAAATTAATAATTAATTCTCTAGAAAACTACAGAAGTGCTTCATATTTATAAAATTTCTAGGATAAAGATATTCAGTGAAAATTCTTTAGAATTCTAAGGCTGGTATATTATTCCCATAAATTAAACTTGGAACTTTTGACACATCAATACTGCATTCATCAGACATCATTGTCTACAATCTTTTAACTTGTTGGGATTCAAACATGGATTCATTTAGGACATTTTAGTGACAGAACTTATATTTTTAAATTCCAGAATTAATGTTTGGATTATTTTCACAAACTGAAAGTCCTTTCTCATATTTTATTGTGTTTTGAAAGAAAAAAAAAATTATAAAGCTTGTTGGCTTCCCTATTTCTTTGTTACATTGAATGAGCTGAGATTAGCAACAGGAGTAATCAGTAGAACAGACAGCACAGACCCTGATGTGCTGACACACTATGCTACAGCAGACAGCACAGACCCTGATCTGCTGACACACTATGCTACAGCAGACAGCACAGACCCTGATCTGTTGACACACTATGCTACAGCAGACAGCACAGACCCTGCTCTGCTGACACACTATGCTACAGTAGACAGCACAGACCCTGATCTGCTGACACACTATGCTACAGCAGACTGCACAGACCCTGATCTGCTGACACACTATGCTACAGCAGACAGTACAGACCCTAATCTGCTGACACACTATGCTACAGCAGACAGCACAGACCCTAATCTGCTGACACACTATGCTACAGCAGACAGCACAGACCCTGATCTGCTGACACACTATGCTACAGTAGACAGCACAGACCCTGATCTGCTGACACACTATGCTACAGCAGACAGCACAGACCCTGATCTGCTGACACACTATGCTACAGTAGACAGAACAGACCCTGATCTGCTGACACACTATCACTGATCTTGTTTGCAGTTTGACTCCTTTTACAAGCAAGTATATATGGTGTGTAGATGTGTACATAAATATGTTGTTTTGTATGTGTTCGATTTAGTTTTTTAATGTAGCTTTAACAATTTTTCACTACAATGTCTGCAGTGAGACAGTTTATAGTGGTGTCTAGTACCGTGGCATCATGCTACAGATATGTATCATGATGTCCCACCCAGTCATATTATTCTGACACCAGGCCAATCAGTCCTAACACTAACCTCTTGATGCTGAGTGCCAAGTGATGCAGCTGTTAGTACCATTTTTTAAAGTCTTTGGGA